GACATCCGAGCAACCCGTGCCCCTTGGGCAAAGCTCAAACACACCTGTCCAAATTTCGATATAGCTTGTATCAAAGATCAGCCGACTAGCGGACTCTGTTAAAAATGTAGAGTGGGCTCGGTTGGTCTGCTTAGGACGGCCCTGTGATACTGCTAATTATAACTCGGCAACGAAACCACCACTAATACATTTTCTTGCACGCGGTCGCGATACGCTCGACACTCCTCGGCATTGCATTTTCAAAACGGTGCATTTTCAAAGAAACTGCCTCCCTTTCCATATTTCGAGCGACTACTTTCGCTTGGCTCGTTCGCGGACGCTTTTGCGCCTCAGGTTCGCTAATTAGCGCCTCAGGTTCCAAACCGTGGCTGTACAACTTTAATTAATGTCTCCTTTTACCAAGAATTTTATGCTTGACGAACCTTCGCGTCAGGTGTCGATTAACCGATTAACGCGTTCGCTGTCTTAACCGTATTCCCGTTCTAATCTATCGAGTTAGTAATACGCGATTGTGTTCGTGGTACTTGAAAATATTTTCTAGGATCTTTCGTTCATGCACGTGTAACGTGGAAGTCGTTTTCTCCGAATGATATTTGGCTGGAAAAGCGAACAACCACGAAGAAGCTCTTGAGCTCCCATTTATTCACGGTCGTTAATGCATAGACTAAAGACAGGGGATAAGTCGAGGACACGCGAGATACAAGGATAACAGCTATCGCGAACGTTCATCGAGTACTCTCGAAGCGTGTGCGATATGATCGTGGACCGGAGAGTCGAGAACGCAAAGATGCATCGAACACGGCAAGTCGTGTCGAGTTTAGTACGACATTCGTTGAACGAACAGCGGTAAGATCGTTCGACAAATCGTTCAAATTCTTCTATACGATAAGATCTGCTTTTAACCGATGCAAAAACGACTGACTCATGTAACCGAGCGGACGCATCGCTTATCAGATTGACAATTTGCGTTAGAAAACTGGCTACGGGACGCTGTTCCGAAAGAAAAGAGCGAGGAAGATGTTTAGATTGGTTCAATCTTCTTTCGCAAAAGTTTTCGCATCGGAACGATTTTCCACCCTTTGACGGTTGGCGAGCGCTCGAGAAGACTTCATCTAGGAAGAGTGCTCCTTTGGCAGAGATGCAAGAGCGCGAGATAAGCGAACAGTAGCAGAGTGCTACGACGAGGCAAGGCGAACGATATAACGCGTTATGGAGTATCGACCTGTTGGCACCCCTGCCTCTGGCAGCTGCTGTATCTCTATCTTTAGCTCAGACCCAGTCCCATAGCATGGGACTCTCTCGTAACCCTCCTTCTTCCTTCTCTCGCGGGAATCGTGCTTTACCCCCTTGCAAACGGGACTTTACACCCTTCTGTCTTACGAACGATCGACCGAGAAGCTACGGGCAACGAAACGAATCAAGAAATTCCGCGTGGAAGCTTTCTTTCTCTCTTCGCGTTGCACGTGGTTTCTTGTCTCTTCCCGATCACGAGCGAATTCGCGACAGGTGTCTCGCGAGGAGAACCGGTCAGGAGAATCGAAAGGCGTCTTCCTCCCGAATCGCCCCAGCTTCATTCGCTCTTTGGAGCGTCGCGACATTAACTGGAATTGTCACCGGAGTAATATTAATCGCGTCCCTTACGACGGTTAATATCGCCTATTTGTAACTTCGATACGGGGATATTTATATACGCTATAATTGCTGCATGACTCTCGTTTTAGAATGAAAGAGGAATGTAGAACTATAACGAAGATTTACGAAACAGGTACACATGTCGGTGTGTGAACTAAAATCTGGAAGATTTTCGTGGACGAAAAAGGGAAAATGAAAAAGCGTTTAAAACTAGAATTAGACTGTCGCCGTCTCATTGTCACTGACCCATGAGATAAGGAACACATCTGGGATATATATACATACACGAATGTTCAAGTTGCGCAACACGTGCCGTTAGACGCGTTATAACTAATGTTCGGAGTGCTGGAAGTGGCAAAGAAGTTTCGCGTGAAACGGACCCAACGCCTCCAAAAAATTAGGGTCCCGTTACTTAGGAATACTAATTTGAAAGTACGGCAAAAGCGTTCCGTTTCTTAAAAGTGTAGCCAGGAGTTAATGCATCGGAAACGACGAACAAAGACGAAGGTTAGAAAGAAGAATAAAAGGATCTCACCCTTTTTCTTCTCTCTCCTCCTGCTCGAAGAAAGCGCGCAGTGCACCGTGACATAATCGATAAGAAGCTTTTTCCGTAGCTAGAAATGTTGTATGTATATACCGTGCTTCGTTCGCTATTTAACGCGCTTCCGACCGTAATTCGAACATTATCAGTAATTGCGCGCGATTCGAAAGAATGCCGATATCGCTAAAATAACGAAAGAAAGGAGGTGCGCAAAACCGTATATAAACGTTAACGGTGAACAGAGAATTAGAATGCGTTATACCAAGTCAACTTTGAGGAAATAATTTGTCTGAAGGTAGTAATCGTTTAGCCAGCTGTCTATGGCAGTTCGTTCGCGTATCCAACCTATTTCCTAGCACCGTTTTGTTTCCTCATCGATCGACTCGAGGTTGCGTATATGCATTCAGAGACAATAGACCTTTTTCCCGATATGTACTCGACACAAATCAAACCCGTGAGTTTCTCCGGCGAATGGAGACAACGAAAGCTACGAAAGGAGCTAAACGAAAAAAAGAGAAGAAAATTTCGAACAGTACCGTACTAAATATTCCATTAAAATTCTATCCTAAAGACGTTCAAACTAGAACGTTCAAACTAGAATTCCGACTTCGATCTATCGCAAATTGAGAAATATTTGAACACAGTACGTAACGATAAATAAAGTGAAATGCAGACAGTGACCACGGTCATGTAATTCTCATCGTCAACGTTCTCTTCGTTGTTGCGGCGGTCTATTTGCGTGTCATAGATTCGTGGCTCTGGTCTAGTCCCTCGTGTCACGAACTGACCTGGGGTTCCTTAACGAAGTTACGTCCCCTTCTGTCCTCGAACAAGCTCTTCGTAAGAAAACACGACGAATATCGCCTCGATAATATAACCTAGGGCGAAACTGTAACGACTACGAAAGTTCCCTTTCGCTGGCTCATCCCTCGACCATCGACGCCGAAATTACCTCGTTCCCTTTCGTTCGACAAAAGAATCGCTATCGAAAATCGATAAGCTAGCCACGCAACGATGAAACGTCGCGATAATTGTTTGTTCTTTTGCATCGACCGAATAATCATCACAGACTCTTGATTAAAATACACCTGAACGAATAATCTTTTTTGTCTAAAGAATATGTACAAAGTCGTTTCAAGAAAACCGAGAACTTTATCTTCTGCTGTTTTGTTCTATAATTAAAATATTTTCAAAGCAGGCGTATTTTATCAACTACCACATTCAAATTAATATGTACATAATAAGAATGTAACTGACGTAAAATGTTGAAACCTAATAAAAGTTGGATAATACCAAAGTCACGAATACGTGATGTAAATAGTGAAAGTGTTGATGCACGTTGTGTATACTTTGGGAAATGAAAAAATTTCATAGCAAAAGTGAAGCAGCGCAATGGCGAACACGTGGTAAATAATGACACATTTGATTCGCTGTATCGAGGTATCCGATCGATATCTTGTTGATTCGCGACAAATCGAATCATGAAGAGTCACAGGTTTTCTTTCGATTATAGTTGATTCACGATGGTTGAACGCAGTGGGAAATGTTTGCAGTCGTTACGATTGTACGCACACGTTCGATAAACGATATCGTATAATCGATACGCCACGAAAAATAATTCACTCTCGAAAAGTATAATTTTTAATAACCACAGATACATTATCTGAATTGAATTATATATCACCCTGTATTGGCAAAAATTGATCTTAAACAGTTCCTAGCAAACTATTTCCTTTCGACTATCAAAAAGTTTACGAATTGTCGATACTTGACAAGCTTATTGACAGTCTCAAAACTTGAAGTACTCTTAGGCTTCTGCGCACGTAATAGTTGACGTTAACGGTGTTCCGGTATCAAGCGGTGTCGAATGCACGGTTATCGCGGTAACAGGAAACACCGGGTGTGTCAAGATAACGTCACCTTGCAAACGTATACTTGCGTGAAAAGTACTTTCTACACTACACTCTTTTAGCTGGATACCCGTGTAAATAGTGAAAATGAAAAAACAATTTATTATCGGTTATTATCTTGCCAATATAATGGTGATACGTTTGAGAGTCGAAAATAAAACTTGTACAGGAAAAAAGTGCATTCCATAGATATCGTCGTGCAGCTGTCACTGTATACTTTAACTTGTAATAACTTGACATCTTCCCCGCCGCGTTTTCTACCTGTACGTTGCACCTTTCCTACTTCAAGAAATCATAGGTCTGGGTTGTTGCACGGTAAATACAGATGCGCTTGAATTATGTAACTCTTTGATGTATATAACCGCGAAAGTAAGCATGATTTCTTATTCAAAAGATAGACAGTCGTTCCAGGAACTTTCGGTTGTCTCCTTTCTTTCAGAGGGAAGGAACGAAATTTGAGTTTGTAAAATGTTTTAATTATATTAAAAATGTCAAAGAGAAAGATTGCTTGGGATGAATCGAATACTGATGAAATGCACAGTACACGTATAACCAGAAACAAAACAGTGTGCGGTGTGTACATTCGCCGGATAATAATTGATGCTACATACATGCGTGAATATGACATAAACACGAGTGTTCGAGGTTAACTCCGAAAGAATTTAAGCTGGTATCACGTGAAACATCGTAGCGAGATTAAAACGCCGTGACGTTTCTTTTATTCGTTGTACCATGACAATAAAAGGATCGAGATCAAAACAAGAATTGGAATTTCAATGAATGGATTTTTTATGCGACACTTTCTCGAGTAATAAACTGTACGAAACCTGTAGCATCGTTTATCGCGTTTACTTGCATTATCGTATACTTTTCAGTTAAAAAACAAAATGTATGATAAGTAGAAATCAAAAACTCACCGGCAAACACCGTGTCTTGAAGATTATATTTGCTGGAGCCTGGTTTTCCAACTTTTGGAAAATCCTTAAGTTTTCGACCGCTAAGCTTCAGCTCACCGCTTAAATGTGCTTCCTCCAATATTCGCTCGAGACTTCTGGTGAGCTGCTTCTGTATGTGGCCGCTCATATTCGACGCGACCATCGCCATATTACATTTTTTGGGCACGTATACGCGGAAGCACGACACAAATATTCTCCCTGGCGTACCAGCCACTCGTCTTTTAAGACGACGAGGCGAGATGTTACGAGAAACCCAACACCCACCGACTGCTCTCGACACTTGCTCCTGCGCTACTGAACGGAGTCTCCAATCGGAGTACATGGATGGGTACGCGACACCAGCGCCACACCCTTTCTAGCGACGCCATTTTGAAAACTAGTCAAGACACGCGCCAAATTTAAAATTCAACAATCACAATTATGAATGAAATTGAACACTTGTAGGCACGTCATTTTTAATTAATTTCACAAATTGAAACTAACAAAACCATGAAGTTAGAATATATGTAAATAAAAAAAATTGTTTTTCTGTTTTGTCATTGTTATAATTAAATTACATTTATTACTATTGCTTACATTCGGTCGTTTCACATTCATCGCACACATTCCATACATCACGGAACAATTCAAAATAATCCCTAAGTCAATATTTGTAACTTAATTAATTTTTTGACTTTTGCGCTTCACACACAATATTATTCGCTATACGATATTCTCTTATTACTTGTTCTTCTACTTCTGGTAGACAAGGTGTGTAACGCGCATATTCCATCGTATATTCTCCTTTTCCTTGGGTAGTGGACCTTAATTCACCTATGTAACCAAACATATTATTCAACGGAACTTCTGCCGTTAAAACAACCCATCCTTCACTAGCATCCGTATCATTTATTAGACCTCGTCGTTTAGTTAACTGAGCCGTAACTGTTCCCTGTATTAATAAAGAAATTTAGATTATCGTAAGATACAATTTTTCATGCTATCATATACGAAAAATGTATTTTTACCTGATACTCTAATGGAACAGTAACTTCGACTAACATAATTGGTTCTAAAAGTTGCCAAAAACCGTTCATAAACGCGTCCCTCATTGCACCTTGCGCGGCTAGAAAGAATGCAAACTCCGAAGAATCAACACAGTGATGCATACCATCGATTAATCGAAATTTAATGCCTGCTAGTTTATGACCACTTAATAATCCCTTTTCACACATAAATCTAAAACCTCTTTCTACTCCGGGAATGAATTGTTTTGGAACATTGGTTCCCACCGTTTCATCTGCGAATACAACTTCGGTGTTACGTTCAGGGGGTAAAGGCTGAAATAACATATTTTCGAAGATATTAGATGTATTTGATAAAAATTATCATGTAACTGTCATATGGAAATTAGAAATCTTCGTTAAAGCACATTGTTACCTCTACTATGCCAATAACTCGAGCAAATTGCCCAGCTCCTCCTGATTGCTTTTTATGAAGGTAATCGAATTTAAAAGGTGTGCGCAATGTTTCACGGAATGAAACTTTTGGTTTTCCAAGAATTATAGGACAATTATATTCGCGTTCAAGCCTTTGGGCATAAATTTCTAAATGCAATTCTCCCATTCCAGAAACTAGAGACTCCTAAACCATTATGTAATCGTTCCATTACATTACTTTCGCATTATTTGCAAACATTAATATTAATTTATCGATTATTACCTTGTTGTCTGCATCATAGGCGTATCTGAAAGTAGGATCTTCTTTCGTAAATCGACTAATACCCTTTGCGAAAACCTCTCTATTTTTTGTATCCTTTACTTGAATGGACATAGATACTACAGGTTCAGGAACATAAATAGATTCCATCGATAAATTCAAATTTGTATTGCTAATAAACGTGTCACCCGATGCACAATCGATACCAAACAAAGCAAATATATCGCCAGCATAAATTTCTGTCACATCTTCCATTTGATTTGCATGAAGTCTTACTAATTTTTGAACTCGAACCTGTCAAAGTTGATATTTATATATGGGTTTCACAATTTGGATACTCATCTTCAACCATTGGACATACCTTTTTCTTTGTTCTAGAATTATATAAAAATTCCCCTTTCCTCAAGGTTCCTTGGTAACAACGAAAATAGGTAAGCTGACCAAATTTACCAGCTTCTAATTTGAATGCCAATCCAACAAAGGGAAAATTATTGCTCCTCTCAGAATTTAACAGAACTTTAGTAGTTCCATTACTATAAATAAAAAAGTTGTAGTTTTATTCTCTAAATCTATGATAAATATTCTGTTTTAAAAACATGATAATATAATTCAAATTTACTTGTCCTCTTGAAGAGCATAGTTTTCTACTTCTCCTGGATTGGGTAAATAATCCAGAACTCCATCCAATAGTGGCTGAACACCTCTATTCTTTAAAGCAGTTCCAAGAAACACAGGTGTGAATGTTCTTTTTATACAACTTCTTCTAATAGCATCTTTTATGTCAGTTTCCAGTACTTTTGCTTCATTTAAATACATATCTCCAAGTTTTTCATCTACGTTACTTAATTTTTCAATTAATTCTTGCCTCCTATCTTGTGCTTCTATATACAAAAATATGTATCTACTAAAATAAAACAATATTTATTACAGTAAGTAAAGTGGATGTATTTTTAAAATCATACCAGTCCTCATATTAGCTGGGATATCATCTTCTCTCACAATTTCACCAAAATTTCCTTCAAAATATAAAGCTTTTTGAGAAATTAAATCTATTATTCCTTTATTATCACTTTCTAGACCGATAGGCAATTGAACAAATGCAGCATTATGTTTTAATTTTCCTTGCAATTGTTCCAAAATTCTGAGATGATTAGCTCCCATTCGATCTAGTTTATTAATAAATGCTAAGCAAGGTACTTTGTACCTCTTCATTTGTCGATCTACGGTTATTGACTGTGATTGAACACCACCTACAGCGCATAATACAAGTATAGCTCCATCTAAAACACGTAAAGCTCGTTCTACTTCTATGGTGAAGTCAACATGACCAGGGGTATCAATAATATTAATATTGTAATCTTTCCATAGAGTATAAGTTGCAGCAGATTGAATTGTAATGCCTCTTTGCCTCTCCAATTCCATACTGTCCATTGTTGCTCCAACATTATCTTTACCTTTTACCTGTTAAAAATTTCATATAATGAAGCAAAAAAGCAGACTTAAATTTATATGTTAAAATCACATTTTACTTACTTCATGCATTTTCTCTATTCTTCCGGTATAATATAATATACGTTCTGTCAAGGTGGTTTTTCCAGAATCAATGTGAGCTGATATACCAATATTACGAATTTTTTCCAATGGTTTATGTTCTGCATATTTCATATACGATGATAACAACCGTAAATTCTATTTAATTTAGAAAACAATAAAGTATATTAATTATATAAATGTATTTTTGATAACTTATATGAGGTTAAAGTAAATGAGGCTAAATTTCTTACTTTCCAAACGTATGAAGTGTGAGATAATAACGGATGTAACTTAATATTATGCTGTAAAGATATTATTATTGACATATTAACTATTTTTTTTTGTACTCGTTATTGAATAAATACTATTTAATCCTTTGACACGCGATATTATTAACCTACACCGTTTCTCATACGTTTTGTAACATGCACATAACGTGACATAACCAAAGAAGATTGGGTCAAATTGTTACTGAGTATCAAAATATGAGATGTAAAAATTAAACGGCAAATGATTCTAGAGAAAATGTTTATTATGTATCAGGTAATTGTACAAGATGGACTCATAACTATTAACAACACAATTATTTTAAAAAATTTGTACAATAAAAATTATGAACTACAAATGTTACCGACAGTATTTTTAATTCGAAACTTGTAAAATAAATATTTATAAAAATTTACTGTTTTTATCTTTGTATCATTTTTTAAACAATCTTCTGTATAGATTATTATACTCGTATTTGAAGTAGATAGTGTAAGAAAATTTTATTTGAACATTATCCTTAAATTTTATATGTAATATCAGAAAAAAAATGAAGCTAATAATTACTGGTTCATTTTGTATATTTCATCATTTTTTTGTGTTATATGAATAATAATATTTATTATTAAATAGAGCATTGTGAACATAAGAATAATATAATTTCTGTAAAATAAAACATAACAAGCTGATTTACTTCACACATTAAAATTTTTATATGCTACAAATATTTACATTGAGCTTATGGGACTGGAAAGTACAAGTATTATATTACCTAACACAAGTATGTTTTTCTTTTTCAGTTAAACATACCAATACATTTTTACATTTGCTTTAATATTAATTATTGTATCCAATGCACACTTTTACATATTAATTAGAGTATATTTTTCAAATATATTTAAAGTATAATTGTTTACCAGAATGGGGAACCAGTCATTGTTTTAATAATTCTACAATTCCTTTCCCTATGCTCGAAAACATATAACTCAATGTTAATGGTACTTTGTGTGACTTACAGTAATGGAAATAAATTCTAATTACTGAAATAATGTTTTCATGTTAAGAATAGATTTTTTGAATCTATAAAAGAATCAACACTGATTGTTTTCAAACAATAGCACATTACTCATTGCACCAAAAAGTTTAATATAAATATGTGCAAGTAATGTAAATCGCCGTGTATAGTTATATTTATCAAAATACATTTCTAATGAATTTTTGTTGCTAGTTTGAACTTATTGAACATTAATATCGACATTGATAAAACACTTACGAGTGGTATTTTGTTTTATTATAATTTTTCGATACTTTGAGGTCCGAAGATATTTCAAACACAGAATGTGCTAATAAAGATGAAATAAGTAATATGAATCATTGAACACCCCGCTTAATATCTTAGTAATATTTGAGTATATTCTGTTTCCTTGTTCTTCAATGTTGTTTCTTTTAGTAATTGAATTTTCATAATGAATTTTTTTTAAGAGTATAAAATCTGTCTTTATATTTTCTTCTGTACATACGTATATATTGAAGCTGAAGTTATACTACAGCCATATTTATGCTTATTTCTAAAAACTTTTACAAATATATTAATATTATTTTCGATTAAAAGCAAGTAACGTTTTTGGTACTAAATTTATCTGGCGAATGTTTGTCATCGCTGTCTCCGAGATCCATACCAAGTGGTACTGAATTCCAAATAGTCTTATCATTTCTATCGTCTTCTTCACTTAAAATATTGCACATCATTCGATCATCGTACAGAGAAAATCTAGCAGTTGATTGTCCACGGCCACGAACCTTTCTCACAGAAGGTGGCAAATCTCCTGGTGTCTTTATTCTCATGTGAGGATCTTTTAATATATTCACATTAGATCCAACGTTAAAAACTTCGTTGAATTTGTCAATACTTTCCTGTCTACTAATATTCTTACTTTTTTCATTTTTCAAATTTACAAGAGGCAAAGTGGATGGTCTAGAATTTGCATTACTTTCGTTATCGAAGTTTTGTTTTCCAATTTGTATAGCATTCTTATCGTTCTTGTCTAACGGAGAGGAAAAAGTAGGTGCCTTATTGATAATACCGTTTACATACTTTCCCCCTGGAGATATCGTTACGTTAGTTTCCACAGTTTTGATCTGTACATTCTGTTTTGTCAATAAATTAGACTTAGAATCTTCTCGATCTATTTGATACTTATTGTATGGATACATTTTCTTATTAACCAGTAGTTTTTTAAAATTAGACCAGCCAAATAATTTTTTCCTAGGGCTTTCTTGTGTACAAATCTCATGCATATTCGTTTGTTTCCGTTTACCATACGACGATGTGCCATCATCCGAAATAACGTTTTGAACATACGGTATAGGTGTGGCCGGTCTTAACTGCGTCAATTGAGTTGTATGTTGACTTAAATAATCATGAGAAACAAGTCCCTGCGCTTCTGACACAATTTTGTATTGATCGTTGCATGCATGTTTCATAGACTTATCAACAAGCACATTACCATTACATCCTAAATCTTCAAAGGAATCTGATTGTAACATTAAATTTCTTTCCATACAAGGATTTCGACCTTGGTAAGGTTGAAGTGCTTGCGTATGGTTATACATTGCTACCTCATTTGAATTTTTAACTAAAATATAAAGATAAATTATACACCATTATCTGAATCAATTACGCGATAATGATAAAATACTTACAGCTATGCTCATGGACAATGCTTTCAGAAGGCGATAGTGTTACTAAATTTTCAACAAAGCCACCTTCGTTGCTCGAGTTGTCTTGTATTGTATGGGATGTTTGTTGAATGGCGTGAACATTATCGTGATGCGAAGATTCACTGTAAAGGCTGTTTGTAGTTGAAGGCACTAAAAGTTTTGTAAAGTATTTTTCTTGCAAATTGTAATAATAGTTTGTTATATTATAATTATGTACTGATATTTACCACGATGAGACTGTAGCTCCGAAAGACGTTCTTTTATACATAAAGCAGTTAATCGAGCTTCCGCATCTGCATCCCAACAGTCTTCCATAGTTTCTTTAATAAGTCGTACTCCAGGTCTGTCTACTAAATTACCCTCCAATAATGGCCTTGCTTTATTACGAGAAACTAACACTTGCATTTGTTCAAAAGTTGGATGAAGACCAATTTCTTTTTCGTATGGTTGTCTATACGGAGGTACTTCTGATCCTGGCATATATATATCTGAACATCTTGAAACGAGTTCCCATAGTACTAAACTCATTGCATATACGTCTATTTGTTTCAAAGAACTTTCACAATCTCGTAAATTAACAGCACCCTCTAATATTTCTGGCGCCATATATCTCAAAGTACCAACCTAATTTAATTATTAAAATCATATGTAAATTACCTTCAAAATATAAGTTTACAAATTAAAATTATTATCTTACATCATTAATTGATTTTAACTCAGCATGCTGTTCTTCACCATTTGAATAATATTTAGAACCAGCAATTTGAACTGCCAATCCTAAATCACATATGCAACAAGTACCATCAGCTTTGATTAATATATTTCTGGAATTGATATCTCTGTGTGCAATGCATGGCTTGAATTTATCTGAAAATTTTATATGCTCACTAAGAAGTTTCTTTAAAATATTCTGTCATTTTCTTAATGTGTTCTATTTACCCCCTTTATGTATGTCAGTATGTAAATAAGCAAGTCCTTTCACCATTGAGAGACCCATCTTGCAAAATGTACTCCAATCGATTATATGAGTTCTTAAGAAATCTGTTAAAGTACCACCTGATGCAAAACTAAGTACCAAAAGATATTCAACGCTGCCTTCCATGCTAACCCTCTCATCTACACCTAAATGATTATAATCATCTTTTAATGTTATACCTTAACTAATCATGAAATCAATCACTATTCATAAAAAAGATTGAATATTAACCGTAATAACTTAATAGCGATGGGTGTTCCATAAAGGGAAGACAATAAGTATCACGTTCGTTTTGAAAATAATTACGATAATGGGAAGGAAATATTTTTACAGCAACATCTTGATCCCCCATGCTGCCTTGCCATACAGATCCATAACGTCCTTGCCCTGAAATATATAGATGTATCAGGCATCTAAAAGCATTTACCTCTATTGTACATTTATATTACAATCACTAAAGAACATACCTACAATTGTTGTAAGTTTCAAATGATCTACTGTGTAAGTACCAGTTCTCAGGGCTGTACTGTCCATAAACTGATCAGAATATGGAAGTGGTTTTCCTAATCTTGCTAACATATTGGTATGGTACACACGATATACCATTAATGCTACAATACATATTACTAATAACATGCACAATAGCACACTTGTTATAATAAGGATCCATCTTCCAGAATCTGGTTGTTCCAAATATTCAGTCGCTGTAAAATGTTATTTGCAAAATATTATAGAAAATTGATAAAGTAATATAGAATTAATATAGAATTTTTTGTATGTAATATTCAATGATTTTACTTGGTTGATTATTTTCTGTAGAAATGGAGCTCTGTAATTTATTATCAGAATATAGAATATTGGTGCTATTAATATTAAGATTACAATAGTCTCCATGACAACAACAAAATTTTGTATTGTTCAATGCTTTAGTAGAGCGTTGAAGAGCAATGCATTCGGAAGTTTCACATTTTTGTTCACCAGATTGTTTCCAACAGCCTGTTAAACACAAAAAGTAATAGTAATAAATATAAATATAATATATTGAATAGTCAATGCTATTAACATACCTTGAGATAAAATGATAATTTCTGTTCCATTTGTAGTCTTATCTTCCTGCCATAGTGCATGACAAAAATTGGTACATTTTTCAAATTTAATATCATCATCCTTCTATAACAAAATTAATATTTTAATTCTTTTATATATTAATTGCTTTCAATATATGATATTGAATCTTACTGTAGTATGAACCACATTACTGTCGTTGGATATATTTTCAGGTACACTTTGTGCATTTTGTTTTAAAGGGAGGTTTTCAATACTTTTTTTCCTGCTAGCACATATTCTAACAGCATTAATGGGTATTGAGTTTATCCCATATAATAGCACGATCAACGTAATTGATACAATGGCTTTCATTGTGCCTTGGCAGGCCTCTTGAACTCAAACACTTCAACAGAAGCGTTGGTCCTTAAGAATTGGCATCTTCAGATATACCAACATACATTATTACCATATGTAGGTTTCATTCATCTATTTTATTATAAATAACAAAAATATAATTATTATAAATTATACATAATTAATCTCTGAATAAATACAGAATACATACACTTTACAAAATGAAAAAATGTTATTAATCATATAAATAATAATAAATTATATCGTTTACTATTTACATCTTCTGTTTGTAAGTAGATACAAATGTTTGCAATTTGGAAAGGAAAACATAGCAATGACAACAAAATAGTTTTGTATGACTATGGAAAAGGAACATACAGTTTTCAGTAATTATATACCACAAATATATAAAGAAGTAGCTTAAACTGCATTTTAAGAAATTAAAAATCGTAGAATGAAGTATTTCATAGAATATTGTAAGCAAATTAACAGAAACATACTCACATCATAAGCAATAAGTTTTTCGAGTTTTGTAACCGGAAATCTTGAAAAAATAAATATGCCACCAATAATAACATTGTACGTATCCACAAAATAATATTAAAATTTTTTAAAACAAATACCGTATCAACGTTAATATATTTGACAGACAAAACGAAATCCACTCAATTGTAATTCATTTACGCGTTCGCAAAGACAATGCAAAGTGTCAAATATGCACCGCAAAAAAATCCCTTGACGTTAGTTACTTGTTTTACCAACACAAACCAGTTATAAATTACGATGCTCATTTCTTTTATTTTTTTTCAATAATCTTTTGTATTTTTATATCAGTGTTCAATAAGAATTTAATATATGTATATAAAAATGAGATTTATTCATCCCACGATAGATCATATCCTATTCGCGCAATTCGACTAACTTCAGTGCAGTGTTGGGCAGTCATGAGATTTTATCACACGCGAGAGCTTTATGCGCATACGTTAGCTAACGTCACAGCTTGCTGCCAATGCCGTACCTAGCCGGTACACGCAGTGGTGACTGATGAGGGCACCTTAATGATCCCACACAATTTTTCAAAAATTCTTATAATTGCACTGTAAACTATGAATGTATAGGTTGGGTTAGATTACATTAGGCTGAGTTAGGTTAGTTATATATATGGCTGTATAAAACTATACAACTATATATACATATATTATAAGTAAAATTACAATCGTAGCTCTTAGCTCGGTATAGTTTTCTGAAGATTTTTTAAGGCCTTCAGAGAACTATACCAATTACCAGGTCGCACCACGTGGAGGTGGCTACGATAGCGACCCACCCTAACTCCAAATCCCTTCCACCCTCCAAATGCAACCTCATTTA